CCTCACCCCCGTTCACCCTTGTGCTGGGAATGTGGATCAAAGTCTGCCCTATTGTTACGCCATCCTTTCCTAGGTCTTATCAGAGTCTCCCTCTTGCCCCGTCCGATATCTCCCTGGTTCAAGTATTTCACCCGAGCTCTGCCACCCCATCTGTGCTACACGAAGCATTATTTCCCACACCCTGCATCTGGGAGACTAACTTAAGGCTAAAGCCCTCGACTAGGGCAGACTCTGATCCACATTCCAAAAGCAAGGGTGAACGGGGGTTAGAGGGTGAGAAGGCCAGCGTGGAGTGTGGAGAGTTGTCATGAGAGCCGCTCAAAAGGGTACACTATAACACATTTAAATAAGCAATCAAGAAATTGTGATAGTGAAGGGTTGGTACCAGGATTTGGGATAGGTGAATAGTCTAGAACAGGAGAGATAAACCGATTGTTTAGCAGACAATTTGTCAAAAGATTGGCTTCACTTGTCTTATTAAAAAGTTGTATTGTGGTGCTAAGACTGGCAGTGCTCACTGGCGATGCCGACTGCGATGCCGGCGAAGCGTCTGGAAGTGTACCACGTCCACGGTTGGACTCTGGATATTATCATGCATACTATGGACTCCGGACTAGGTGCGTTCCTTTAATTCTTCCTAGCAATATGATCAAGTTGCTAAAACAAAGTCAAACACCTTCTATACAACGAAACGAGACTGCGACCGCAAAAAGGGCTACACAATCTAGGTCTTCATATCTCAGATATATTATTGTTTGACAAGCAATCATGCTACATAATCATGCGATAAAATAGTCAACCAAAATAGGCTATGATTTAATCTATGCTAATTCTTTACCATTTAGTTGAGCAATTTGGAGAAAAAATCTAACCATCCGGCTGCTGCATGGGATTACCTAAATCTGGTTGACGTAGAAGTGAAAATGACGTCAATCACCTCTGGAGCTGCTCAAGATCCGTTGCATTCTGCGAATCCAAAGCTCTCACTCTCGACAATTCTTACTCCAAGTCTGGACTCAGCTACTGCCAACTCCAGTTATTGCCAACAGGAAGAATCTCCAACGTTCGACTCCCAAGACGTTTTAAGCGTGGGCAATTCTATTACCTTTTTTCTTTATCATTTTTCTTACGAACATTTTGTACTTTTACACATGCTTACACTTAATTTATGCAGAAACCTTTACTCACCCGGCATTCAGAATATCTTTTAGAAACGCATTTAATGAATTTTTGCTAGCTGAACTTTGCCTATCTAGAGCCCTCTAGGCTTGCCTCAAATGCTTTTCAACAGCTTGCCGACCTCTTTTAAGGCCAACAACTTACTCGGTTTAATGTTTTGAACCACAATAAGGTGATGTATATACTTACTAGAGTGAAATAAAGGCCATATACAATCGGATTAGGTGTCAACAGACATTATTATTTTCACACTTGTCCATTATAATTATTCTAGAACTTCTCAGCTAGTCTTTTCCTTCTCTTTCTTTCTATCTTATTCTAACTACGCTACATTATTCATTCCGCAAACTCAGGAATAATAGTCTAAATAATCTGCGTCCTTGTTCTATTCATTGCCTAAAAGCGATATCCAACCACCTCTGTGCCGGACGTGACACTGGTCCCTTGCGCTCATCCCCGAATTCTGCAATCCGAACGCTCGAGAAGCCTGGAATCTCTGCTCAACCAGACGTTTGGCAAGCCCCATACTCCTGTTGAGCAAGATTTGACAGCTCCTAAGGCTCTACCTTTCCCTTACGGGCAGTCGTTTTTGGAGAAAATGGATAGACAGACTGAGTATGTTTTCTATTTCGTGATTGGTCGATATTGGGGTTTTTCTGCCAGAAGATTTTTTATTATTTACGAATAATTTGTCGGCCACAAACTAATATCAACAAATATGCAAGAAACAGGTGGATTTAGGCTATTCATTAAATTATTTTCAGCCTAGAATTTACTACGAAACCATTAAGAATACCAATTTTTCTTACATTAGTCATGTTCTCATCCGGACTCAGGAGAACATACCCTGTACCGTTTTAATATACACGTGTAGTCTACTAGTTGAGTCAATTTTTCGTATTTTTGTATTAGAGTACAGTTTAGAGACTACCAGTAAATCAGTAATATGAGGTGCATTCACCCTATTTCGTTTAAGGTTATGAAGGACTGGTAGTATAATTTTTCCACAATGATATGAGTTGAGCTGATGTTTCCATTGAATTTCACATAGCCTTGCTTTCCCAAAAGTTGTTCCACCAGTGGACTGCAGTTTCGACCTCGTTCGGTCTTACCAACACCCTCAGCGGGAGTCGAGTGGTTAGCGTGTCAAGCTCCCATCCTGCACTGTCGCAGTTCGACTCCTGCTGTGGGTGTTGATAAGACCGATGCGAGGTCGAAACTGCAGTCCACTGGTGCCTGGATGAGAACAACTT